CGGGGCCGGCTGGGCTCGCACAGATCCGGCGGGACCGGGCTCGCGCGGGGACAAGCTCGCACGGGGCCCACCTCAACTGGCACAGGGCTGGGCTCGCACATGGCTGGGCTCGCACGGGGCTGGGCTCACACGGGGCCGGCTCGGGCTCGCACGGAGCCGGCGATGCCGGCTGGGCTCGCACGGGGCGGGGCACGTTATGGCCCAGGCCCGCACAAGGCCGGGCCCGCACGGAGCTGGGCTGGCACGGGGCCGGGCCCGCAAGGTGCCGCGCTCGCGAGACCAGGCTCGGGCTCGGGTTCGCGAGGCTGATTTGTCCGAAGCATGCAAGACGGGGCCGAGTCGGGCTCGCAGCGGAAACGGCAGCGGCGAGCCCTCTCGGGTTCGTGGCTTGGCTTGCTACTCTGGCGGGCTGAGCCAGGTATGGCCTCGGGTTACTGTACAGACACGCGTAAAGGCTTTCACATCTTAAAAAAATAAAATGCAACAACAACAAAAAACAGCAATCACTCTTATTCTCGTTCGCGTTCGGCGTTGCAACTCTTTGACCCTCTCAAGCTGCTTGAGTGTTTTTCTTCTCTCTTTCTCGTTTTCAAAATAGTCAAGGAAGCTAAAAAAATCTTGTTGCAGTAAGGAGGAACTTCCTAGCCCACTATATTTGCCACGTGGGGCCCAGAGGAGCAACTTCCCTAGTGACAAGATGACACAATCAGTAGTCGTCGCAGTCGCTGCAATTACTTGCTCAAAGAAATGTGACTTCGCTTCCTCATGCTCATAACAGAGAAGTTCAATCCTTCCATTGACAGATATCAGGCTTAGGACCAGTTACTCTCTCAGATGCACAGATGAATTCATGCTCAGCAATTTCTGTCAACTGATCATCAATTGCTCAGAGGGCAGAGAGGATAAAATCAGTTTTGGTCGTAACTACCTTCGTGACTCAACATACCCATGCACACGACAGACTCAATCTAGTCTTTCTCTCTGCAACAGACAACTCATTTGTCTAGCCAATAATGGACTGTGAGATATTAGATTGTACTTAGGTGATATTTAACTTCACTATAGCCTCGCAGTTAGAAGGACCAATCTTAAACGCACACACTGAATTGTCTAGGGAATACTTCTCTGGCAAGCCAGTTGTATCTTATTTTCGTCACTAGAATTTGGGCATTACCCTACACCCCTTCTTCTAGCCAGAGGCACAAGTACCTGCATTACCAGACGAGAGTGATAGTCGACGCTGACGCTGCTTTCACATCAACACCACTTCTACAGTATTTAGGTACTAAAGTGCACTTTTTTCTTCATCACTTCCCTATCTACTTCCTCCTTCGCAACCCTCTGTTGATCTTCTTGTTGTGCTGGCTTGTTACTGACCACAGTTTTCAACGCTGCAATGAGACTTTTCTGTTCCTCTTCTACGCGTTTCATATTATGGACAAAATGTGCTCGCACAACCCTCGCTAACTGGACAATATTCTGTTCTGCGGGAAGATTATTTAGCGTTGAAGACGAAGAAGTTGCTGCAATTCTTGCATTTGTGACAATACCAGGACTGATAGCAGGAACCTGATGCGGTCCACTACTCCCACTCTGTGCTTGTTGTATCTGCTGCACCATAGCAGGTTGATGTCCGCGAACATTTTGTCCCTGTACCTGCGGCGTTCCCTGTACCTGCTGCAATCCTTGTCCAGCACCTCCCTCTGGCACCAACGTGCTTGTATTGTAGTCGTACAAAACGAAGGGCTGTAGCCACTTTGCTAGTCTTCGTTCTATGCAGGCTTTAGTCCAACGACAGTCAAAGAGAACCATTACGCCGTAATCTCGTTGATGGCGTATGCATCTGCCTAAGGCCTGAGACACTGCCCGGTAAGCCTGAATGGCATACCATTCATCCCCAGAAAGCAGGAATGAAGGAGAGGAGGAAGACGAGGGGGCCGCTGGTGCGGGTGCTCCTGCTCCCCCAGCACCTCCTGCAGTAGTATTACCTGTCGTGTTGGTTGCTGATGTTGCTGTTGTACCAGCATGCCGAAGAGATGATGAAGATGATGACTGCGCTCCTGGTACTAGTACTCCCGTGTGGGTTCTTGATGTAGTCTTCATTCCTACACCAGTCGTGCAGCTAGAAGTTGTCGCGTTCACCTTCAAGACCTTCTGCTCCTTATTTGCGTAGTTGACCAAGCCCTTATTGACATTGTCGTGTTGCAAACTCCCTTGTGAGTCCAATTCTTCAAAAACACCTGGCTGAACTAGGACAGAGCCATGACCTTCATGCTTTCCCATAGCCAATGAGGTTACACTACTTCGCTGCAACTGCAGTTTGTCGGAAAAGGATAGGCGTTCTTTTTGTTCACCTTCGGGCGCATCTGAATTGACAACAGTTTCAATCGATGCTGCTGGATTCAGTTTTTTCTCTTCATCCGTCTTTGCAATTGGACCCACAGCTCCACTTTCGTTTTTCGGAGGCAGTCCTGAAGAACCTGGGACCGCGTTGGCTCCTGAAGAGCTTGAACTCGTCGCTGACTTTTCTTTATTTCCTGAAGTACTCGAGACTTGATTCGCTTTATTTGCACCGCCAGGAGGAGCCCCAAAGCCTACTCCTTTGTTGAAAGGTGGTTGTGCGAAGGCATAATTTCCTCCTGTCGTAGAACCAAAACCACCTCCAAAGGTCATTCCTGATCCAAATGCTAGAGAACCAAAGCCACCAACTGGCGCTACGACTGACCCAGAAAATCCAAACCCAAAGCCTTGAGGTTGTTGACCTGTGGTCATCGGCGCTGCACCAATGCGACTGTTTACCTGATGAAAGGCAAAAGTGGAGCCACCTCCTGATGAACTTGTTGCTGACGTCGTAGTTGTATTCGCAACACCTCGTGCTCCTGCAACATTCTTGACAACTGCAGCTGTGCCACCGAAGCCGAAGCCTGATGAACTTGTTGAGGTGTTGAAAGCTGGCACGACTGTAGTGGCTCCTCCGAATCCCGGCTGTTGATTCTGCGGCTGTCCGAATCCAGGCTGTTGATTTTGCGCCGGTTGCGCAACGTTATTTGCCATCAAAGCAGCCCTTGCCAAAACTCGACTTCTAGCTGCAGCAGCACGCTCCTCTTTTTCTTTGACAGTTGTTGGCCCTTTGGTAGTTGATGTGCTAGAAGAAGAAGTCGCTGACGCCTTCGGCAATGAAGAATGCGCTGCCGGACTCGTATTGGCAAACATCTTTATCTTTTCTCGTTTCACTTTATCCACCAAGACGTTATTGTAGTTTCTCTTTTCCATCACGAAGACGTCTTTGAAAGGTGGAAAAGGTACCCCGACGCAGAAGACAAGCCGGCACAGGTCATCGCGCAAGTCCAAGCCTTCCGAGGCAGTGCCGAGGATTAGAAGGAAACAGTGTAGTTGCTGATTCTAGTTGCTGATGCTTGTGTATACTCAAGATGAAGAAGGATTTGCTGAACTTGATACAGCAGTTAAGCTCTAGCTCATTTGAATGAAGAGAGCAAGTCGCTAGCACAACTAGCTCCTTCACGACTACGCCGTGGCCTTAACCGATATGCCGCGAGCAGCACTGTGATCATGTTCGGATTCCTGACACTGCGTTCGAAAATTCGAAGGTCATCGGTCAGGTAGATACAATCTCGGAAAGGCCGCTCGTATGCAGTTTTAGTGGAAGAATTATTGGCATTACCTCCAGTTCTTGAGTGTGCAGGTGTGCCATTAACATTGTTAGCAGTTGGTGGTGCCGCGACGTCATCAGGCTTCATCCAGGCCGACGTTTTTCTAGCCAGCACCTTGCGATTCCAGAGGGGTATTGCTCTTTCCACAACCTGACCACTTGAGAAGAAGACGAGGACCCCGTTTCCCCCAGGCACGCAGCGAAGAACTTGAAGTAGTTTGTGTCCGATGTCTTCCTGGGTTAGAGGCTACGTGTTGTGTAGGAGTAGATGAATGAATGTACAACTAAGAACAAAAACCCTCTTTTGTGTAGCCGTACGTACTTGTGCGTGCACCAGACACACCTGCTGTAGTTGTACTACTCATTTGTAAGTACTTTTTCAAGTCATAGCAAAAATTCTTCTTGCAGCAGATTTTCATGCGTGCACGGCTTCGCTGTCTTGTAAGGCAACACCTGCAGCTGCGTTTGCGGTATCACATGAGGAGCCGCCAGCGGTGGCGGTTTTAGTTGTAAACGACGTTGAAAGCCCGAGCCAAGCTCTGAGATAACTGCCTCATGCGGGTGCAGCGTGCCAGACGCTAAAACTATAGAATCCGCCACATCCGTCAACTGCGAAAACACCGCTCCAGAAACCATACATAGAACGGAGAGAGAGGCGAATTCTCTCGAGGTTAGAAGAGCAGCCGGAGGGAGCGGAAGGAAGAACAAAGTAGAGCAGATGAATGTCCATAGCGAAAAAAGAGTAGAGTCGTAGTATCAGGATTGAAACAAGTAAGTAAGTAGATTATATAGAAGCAATGCATAAATTCGTATCATCCTCTACTGCAGAAGAGACTCCCTGACCCTGAGCAGTCGTCCCAGCGTCAACTGTCCCATGATCAACCGTTGTATCTAGAAGTGCTGTACTATCGTTGAGAAGACCGCTACTGTTCAAATTATCTGCATTCTTTTTCTCACTTTGCCGCTTTTCTCCCACGACTGCCTCAGACGTCGAAGAGCTCGTAGGCTTCGCTGACGTCCTACTTGTTTTGGCATGCTTTGTACCTCCTTGTCCCACCTGGTGTCCTCCATCTGTTCCAACGTTGAGATTGAGGAAAGAGGTTGATGACTTTGCTAGACCAGCCTTATTATTTCCCGAAGCATTTAGTACTTCTTGCTTATCGGTATTCCCGGAAGCTGCCTGCCGCTTTTTCTTCTTCAGTTGACTCTGAACTTTGACGACGTAGCATTCCGGATACTCGAGTAGTCGTTTGATGCGCTCGGAGATTAGAAGATGCATGGGAAATAACGGAAATTAACTTAAATCTATGATTTAAATAGTAGTAAGCACGGTTACTTAGATTGATATCATTTTTTGCCACGACCATCACATTCACAACAAAAGAAACCTGCTAAGTATAATTCTTGTTATATTCAAGTCCATGATTCCCATAGCAACAACGTCTGCAATCTCCCCAACTTCGACAATGCTGGGAAGTAAAAGTGGTCTTCCTCGTTGTACTCGATTTGCTGTAGGATCGAGTCTTGAAATTCTTGACACAGCTCTAGAGTTGGTTGTAGAGACCCAGCCAAAGTTCCAGCCGTGATAGCTATAGTCGCTACTGCTGGGACTATGCGTGTTGTTTTTTGCTGAGAATCTGGAGAACTAACTCCACCCTGCTCAGTAGAATGAGCTCCAGGTGAAGAAGTAGTTGTTCTTGTTGCGGGATTTTTCTGATGTGCGGCTGGTCCTGGAAGCATTGAGTTATGTTTAGTCGGCCTCCTTACTAAGACTGGATTTGCAGCCCGAGGGACTTTTGGAGCTGGAGATCGTGGCTTTTTGCTCTTAATATTGTGTTGCTGTTCAACAGCGTCTTTCGCAGCTGCTGCCAGTAGCTCTTTGGAAAGTGTTCGCGGTCGGGGCAGAGGCTCGCCTTCTCCAGCAGGCACACCAGGAGGAACACCAGGAACACGACCATTCTGAAAAGATACAACTACAGAAAACCCAAGCCCCTCTTGTTTCTTGTAGAAGTTTTCGCGGATCATTTCGGGAACGGACTTAGAATAGCCCAAGCCGAACGTCCCAAAAGGCATCAGCTTCACGACTCCACGCAGCCATCCCTTCAATATCTTCGCAACGGACTTTCCACTTAGCATCCTCTTGTTCTGGTTGTTGTTCGCTGGTGCACCGTATGCACCGGGTGCGGCTTCCATGCTTGTTCCAGTTGTTCCGAGGAGTCCTTTGATGTTCTGCACATTCACATCGACTTTCGAGTACAGCGGATTCTTCTCTTCGTTGCCGAGTTGCGTCAGCATATCGATGATCGCGACGATTTCTTCTCGCTGAAGATCGAAACTTCCCACATCCCGGCACAAATCTTCGACATTGTGGGCTTCGTCCAGGATGATCATGCGGCTCTTGAGACTCCAGTTGCGTCTGTGGTGGGTTCCACATCGAGACACTACAGGGTCTAAGACGTAGTTGTGCGGACATATGACGATGTCTGCTGCGCCGGCTAGAACGTGGGCTGCGTAGTATGCGCAAGCTCCACCGCTGAAAGTCATTTGACCCGCTGCGCCTCGAATGGCGGTTTTCAAATCCTCGATGTCAACCGCTTGCAGCGCAGGCTTTTATGAACAAGAACTACTTTCAAGAACTTGTTTATTAGAGAACGAGAAGTAAAATAGACTCTTGTCTACAAGGAATTTGACGGACGCAACAGGGCGTAGTTGAAAATGAGTCATAGAAGGTTGTACGTCTTCAAACACGAAAGTGATCAACATTGTGATTCCTATCGACGAGGCTTGATGTTGTTTTGGTAAGTAGTAGGAAGTACCGAGGTAAAAGCTAAAATCTGATTTGATTTATTTTACTGTAAACAAAGTGGAACACATCAAAAATTGTCTTTCATACAAACCTTCTTCGACGGTGGCAAGAGGAGCGATGGACCTTTCATACATCGTCGAAGAAGGTCCATCGCTCCTCTTGCCACCGTCGTCCTCGTCTGGTGACCGTAAGCCTATTGAAGAAGAGGTCCTCTCGAAGACATCGTGACCACCTCCTTCGACAAAAGAGGGCACAGCAGGATCCCTCAAATTCGCGTACTGTAGGCATCGTGTTTTCAGCGACCGGCAGACGTAGTCGATATTCATCTTACTGCGTGGGTTAGACGATATTAATATTAGGGTAGCACATCACGCTTCTACCACGTAAACATACTACAACTACTTAGTGGATATTCTACTTACTGGTACTTGCTACGTATGCACTTAGGGGAAAGGGTCGACTGGAAAAATTTTGATTCTGAATCTTGACCGACTGCAGGCGGGAGAACAATGTCAAACGCATCTTGCCTTTGTAGAACTAGAACTTGCTAGCTAATCCAAAAAATGACGAATGGCCTAGATTTTTGCGATCAATTGAGGGCAAGGCGTAGCCTTGCCAGTAGAATGATAGCCAAGAACAGACCTAAGCAACTAACTATGCTAGCCAATCTAAATAAAGCCATATCTGACGTCCCCACACCAGCACGTCCGGTGTCGAAAGCAGTCCCGGCTCGGCCTCCCCCACAACACTGATTCACCACGTAATCGTTGGTGCAAAGGTGTTTCCTACCGGCAATGACGACAGCTCGATGATTCGCATAAGGACTCCTCTTCAATTCTTGCATAACCTGATTTGCCTGGGCATGCGTCCGCACACCGTAGATAATCTGTGGTCGCTCTCCTGGTGGCTGAGATCGTTGAAACGCCAAGGCTGCGCAAAGCAAAGCCATGGTCTTTCCAGTTCCTGTTTTAAAGGTCGGCAGGCAGTGGTCACTCTCACTGATTCTGAAGGGACATGATCCCCTACACGGCTCTCACTTTTTCCCTTGTTTTCCTCTGTTCTTTCAGGGGGTCTCCTCTTCGGTGTCAGTGACCAACGAAGTCTGAGCCTTAACTGTCGGTGCTTCTACCAAAGCAAATTCCTTTTTCACTCCAGCTCGTATCACACGCAGCATAGTCTGTCTTTGTGGCGGCATGACTTCAGGATAGGGGAAAGAGATCGGAATCCTCTCCATGTAATCGACACGTCTTTGAAACTGAAGAGCGATAGAAGGAAGTGAAGAACAACTGGCAGTACCAGTAGCAGTGTGATGTTCATCAGGAGGTGATACTCCAGGTCCTCCTCCTTCAGGAAAGTCTGGAGCCTGTTGAGCAGCTCCACCTCCCTGTGCTGATCCAACATCATTGACGTTGATACTACTTTCAACGTTGTCCCTACTAGAAATAACTCCTGTGGTTGCATTCCTGCCTCCAAAGTAAGGACTCGGCACGAGATGCAAGATCCTGTTCATATAAGCTTCCACCGGGTTCAATGGTCTTTTTCTATCTCCAAGACCTGGACTCGCACTTCTTGGCGGTCCACCTCCTGCTCCAATTCCTCGATTTTCTCGAAGCACTTTCAAAAAAGCCGCACTAGGTCCCTTTTCTCGACTCGGTGTAAGAAACCTCTGTGAATTCTGGCCAAAAGTGACGGCATTATGCTGTCCTAGAGAGCCATCTAGGGTGCTGGCCCCCTCCACCCACTCATTGGCGAATGCAAGTTGTGAGACTCCTCCTCTATGACCATCAAGAAGTTGACCCGCTTGTCCACCTCGTTTACAGTTCCCAAGAACCACGTGTTGAGCTACCGTCGTCAAGTGGGAATAATCTTCGTGGCCTCCTCTACGTAGGAAAGGTTCCAGAACCGAAGAACCACTACTAGAGGAGGAAGATGTGGCGTGTGACAGATACCTTCGGACGTTTATTGCTGTGTGTTGAGATGAGGCGGACGAGGAAGAATTAGAGGTAGGTTTTTGGTGCTCGCTTACCCCGCTTGTTATGCCTTTCTCATCCTAAGGGGGAGAGGCATGAAAAGCGGTAAGAAAAGCACCTTTAACCTACCCTTAAAAGAAGAGTGCTGTTTCTTCTCTCCCCGTCCACCACCCACAGCTTTCCGCTTCTCCTCCAGCTTCTTGGCCTCTTCCTTTCTCTTCTCTTCCTCCTTCTCCCATGCGTCTAGCTGGTCCCAAGTGAAGGTTGCTGGATCAACAATCTTGCTCGTTTTATTTCGCAACGACTCCCTATAGGCATGCTCAGCCAACCTGCGTTCCTGATGCCGGATCTTCTTCTCCTTCTTTGTCGTCCGCTTATCAGTTACAGGACGCATTTTTTCGGCGTGATGTTCTTTTCAGTTGGCTTCTAAATAACAGTTTGCTCTATTGGAGGTAACTTCGTTAACATTAACTCAAAGCGGTAATACTTTCATCAGTTGGCTTCTAAATAGCGCTGCAACTCAGACTAGAAGTATTACTTTCATCAGTGCTACTTCTACTGAAGATGAATGCTATTCCCGGTACGACTACCGCAGAAGGATCTACGACTACCACTTTCCATTCAATATTTTGTTGCAGAAGTCAAGGTCAACATGAAGAACCTAAGGAATTTGGAAAATCCGAACTTATTTCTATGTGATGGAGGTGCACTCAAAGTTCCATTTTTTAGAAAGATCATGGACTCCTTTCCTATATCTACTGCTGCAGAGTGTGCGTACAGAAAACACAGAAACACGTTCTTAGCATCCCATCTATTCATCGGCGTTCAGCTACTTAGCATCCTGCCTTGGAAACGACTACAAGGGGGATGTTTCATGTTTCGGTCCGCGATATTCAAGATGCTTGTTGAATCATGTTTCTCTTTCTTTTTTACACACCACCAAAATCGTGACGTTTTAGTTTAATCTTCTCCTTGCGTCATTGCGACTGCCTTTCTTTTGTTGCACGACAACTTGATAGTATCAGATACATCAAAATCATTTGTTACCCGAATACAAAAATGCGCAAAATGATGATGTATGATGCATCTCCGTGTCGGAGGTCCTCTGGCTCCCAGTTGCAGATGGCAGAAGTATGTTTCGTTACACTCTGCCAGAGACCACGAGATGATAGGTAGGAGGTGCTCACCTCCTGCTTGTGAAATCCATAATGGAAAATGGAAAGTATTTATATATTAGTATTTTTCATGAATGAAAACCAAAAACAGAGGGTACTTAATGCGTAATTGTTCAACGACCTTTAATCACCAGCATGACCAATCTGAGTGGTCACTACAGTAGCAAAAACTGGTTCTTGTTCTTCTCATTTATACACTATCTTGTCACTTGTTTTCAAAGTGATTTCGGCTCCGAGCTTAGCTGGCGACTCGAGTTCCACTATGGTGATAGCGTTTTTGCCAGGCTTCAGCATCACGCCTGGGACGTAGAGACTATAGCTTGGACCGGCTGAGTTCCAATAGCGTCCGAGGTTCATGCGGGGATTAGAAAAAGTGTAACTTAAGGCATTTGGCTTGACTTAAGGCACTTCTTTGGGGATGGGGAGCTAGCAAGCTAGAAAATGAAGAACAATAGGGGTTTTTCTCTGAGTAAACTTCTCGACAAAGTATGTATAGGAGCAAAGGACTCTTGCTTTAACATTTACAAACGCCACACCCTTTCCGATAGGACCATCATCTTCACGCTTTCCAGACGTCTCGATGTCGGATTTCGGCACGATCGTCTGCCTCATATCCAAGAAAGTATCGGCATACCAACCCGTTTCGTTGTCCAGGAATGAGTCTGAGATCTCAAATGTCGCTGAAAACATAGCTGGCGTTGTATCATCGCTACATGAGCAGGAGGTGGTCAGTGGTTGACGAGGTGTTGGTGTTAATGACGTAGAAGCTTCTGCCAATATAATTGCTTGTGCTTCCGCTCGTCTACTTGATAACGCAGGTCGTGACGAACCAAAGACTTTGGATATATTTTCGTTCACTTGTCCTCGATCCACATCGCCATCAACAACGAGAGTTGATGCCTCTTCGACTACTATCTTCTCCTTGTCGCGCGATACAATGGCTGGATGTGTTTTCGGGAAGACGTCTTTCGCCAATTGCTGGGTTTTAGAGTTAATATATGATATTCTGTGAGAAAAAAGTATGAATACGTTGAGCTACAGCTGCTCTATGTATTGGACAAAAGATGTACGTCCATTCGAAAAACTGAAATAAGCAAGTAACTGATCAGAATAACCGAGATACTGATGAGAAGGAAGGGTAGCCTTGATGGTAAGCTGCCTCCCTTATTTCAGTCAGTAACTCGCTGATTTTGAGTTTTCAAATACTTCAATTTCTGACTCTGCCATATTGTCCATCAATGGCCAAATATAATGCATCTGGTCCCTCGTCGAATTGAATGCTGACCATGCTGCTAGATGCGAATTGTTTTTATCCCCCGCGCTTTCTCCTGCTGCTACGGTTAGAGCTACCACGTCGCATCCTTGAGCCCATCCCTGAGCCCTTTTCCCCCTTTAAACAGAAGCCAAGAAGGATGGCGCTGAGGATGCGTCAGCGGTATAGCCTTAACACTGTCTCGTCTTCGTTCTTCGAGATTGCTATCTCCTGCTCCTCCACTATGCCATCGAAAAGCGCGCCACAGAGCACAAAACGGCCACTCTTGGCATCAAAATTGACGGCTCCAGACACGTCAAAGCCTTTACGGTCTTTGCCCATTTGCGGGGAGAAATTTTGGCGACCAAAATTCTCCACCAAAAAGTCGATCTCTTGGTCACAACGTGTGAGCAAGGATATCGTCGTGGGGCTGCGGTGTGTGTTGCATGGACATGGTGTTGAAGAACAAGTTTACACATGCAGGCGGTGTACTAGTATTTGTGTAAGCACGATGGATGCTTCCCACTAATATATCTACTTATAATATATATATTAATAAGAAGTACTCACTTTGTGCGTCTCGCTTCGTACTCACTTTGTGCATCTCTAGGCAAATCTAATCATGGAGAAGAACATGATCGATGTAAGTATATCATCGACGAAGAAGGTCATGTTGGTATAAAGCTGTGGTACACATCATTCCGATCCAGTATTTTCTCCAATTTGAAGCCCACGTAGACGTAAACTCGGTCATTAACAGCTGATATCTCAAAGGATCGCGGTTTACACGGCTCGTTCCCTTTATCATTCGGAACGAATCGATAGAGATGTACATGGTCGTAAACATCGTATTTGTCCGCATAGAAGCCCTCAGAAGTAGGATCTACATCGAGGTCACGGCAAGTAGCTTTCGATTGGCCGTCTGCGGCGGCGGAGAGCAACAACGGAGCCGGTGATGTTGAGAAGATTAGAAGTGAGTGCCAAAGCCAATGGCAAAATCCCAATCTTGACGAGTTGAAAGCAAAAACTAGATGAATGGTCACTCTTAGTACAGCTCGAACCAATATTCCTTTTGCCTTACAGCAGACATGCTCTCCACGGCGCCTGAGTTGCAGTGCTGTCGCTTCAAGACGATGTCGGGATAGACCGCTGTTTTTGTCTTCGATGTGTATCCTCCTCCAGGGGTGCTCGAAGCGATGACACTATTCTTGTCCACAGCTCCAATCGTAGAAGCAGAGTGATCTTCTGAAGATCTGGACTCTATCTCAGCTTTGATGTCCGCAAACTTATCGCGTCCATCGGACCCAATGCCGTGTGAGCCGTCTTCAGCAATTGGGCCATTGTAATCGTAGCTGGTAACTTGTCTTAGCGCCAATCTTTTCTCTCTCTCCCTGCTTGAGTGAGATGGCTTGTGATCCCCTTGGTTTCCCCTTGAAATCAAGAGGGACTCCACTCTTCAGCATCGTCCGAGCAGAATAGTTGTGGTGGAGCACCTAGCTAGAAAAAACAAAAAAGGCGTAACTGTGGCTGGACATCCACCTTGCTGTCGAACCAGTGGGTGGCTAAATTTAGCCCATTGCTGAAGCCGAAATTGGTACCGCCAAAGGCCATGTACAAGTTGAAATTCGGGAGGCCTTTCATAGTGTTGATAACATCGCTGGATTTCGTGGTAGCGAAATTCTGGTCATGCCAAGCCGTCATCCAACCTTAAAGGTTGCAAGTTGACCCCCCGACCCCCATCTAGTAGGCCGCATATCTATGACTTTCCTACTTGCAAAGGTCATAGATATGCTTACAGAGAGGTCAACTTCTACCCTTTAACAACCGGTGTAGTACTCGCTGACGAACTCGGGAGAGTAGTCTTGTTTATTGTAGCGCCGCATGTTTGCGAAGGAGATCTGCGAGCAACGAGAACAGAGGTGATGCATTTCTATTTTTGTTGTAATGACTGCGTACTCGTTTGGGAGGTGAAGCTTGAAGGTGATGCATGTTAGTGAAAGAGAGAGGATGATGATCGAAGTCATATCAAGTGAAACCAACAGAAACGTATAATCACAGCCCAAAAGCAAAGGTCTGTACCTGTGGGCTGACGATGTCTGGACCAAAATCGCCAACGTGGTAGACGTTGAGCTCAGGCTTGTGGATGCCACCATTGCCCAAATGCATGTAGTTGTCTGTGGTATAGTACTGAACGTCGTTGCCAGAGATTAGAAATAGAATCTAAAATTTTGAAAAATTGCAATTCAGATTTAAAATTCGATTTCTCGAAAAAATGGTTTTTTATCGCCAAAAAATGAAATTCATTTTCAATCGAGAGATTGCGTCTTCGTTGATGATTTTCACCTCAAAACTGTAGACATCTCCAGCACCAGAGCTATCATTTACTGAAATACTAAGTAATTTCTTATTTCAGAAGTATGACTTTTTCGATTGTATTGTAACTATTCATACTTTCTACTGTTTCTGATGTTAATAATATGCTTGACTGCAGGTATTTTTCACCACGTTCATCCATCTAATTGAAACACAAAATCTATATCAACTCCAAATCATAGCAGATGTTTCTTTGCCAATTCCAACAGCCATTCCATGTACTCTTGGTCGTCACCTGATGAATCCACATCTCCATAGGATCCATACTCGTTTTCAATCTGAACCATCACGATTCGTCCTCCTTTCTTCTCCGTCCACAATTCGTCCTTCAACGAGGGCAAGAGCCAGCCCCAAAATTTCTCCACTTCAGCGTAGTATTCTTAAAGCAGCAGGTTGGAGCATTTCATTATAGTACTAGGATAGGTTGATAGAAGCAATGCCAGTGAGAAGCAGGTTCTTGAAGCAACCTTTCATTAGTAATAGAGTAAGTAGTTAACAATGCTAAGCCTAAGAGAGAAAAGCATCAGCATGCAGAAGTAGAAATATGATTCTATTTTTAGATAGCCATGCTAAGCCTAAGGAAGAAAAGCATGTAGAAATTGTGAAGGGAGTAGATTTCTTAATATTCTGGTTGTTTTGTGCGAATCTTGGAAAATTTCTGCAGTCTCGCTGGAAAGCCTCCAAAGTCCCACTCACCGCAAATGTAGGGTCCAGGACGCAGCAACAGCCAGAAGCCCATTTTGGAGGCGAGTTTGATGAAGCGTAAGTGCGAACCATTGGCACCTTCGAGTTCGGCCAAGTTCCAGGGCGAGATTAGAGGGGTGACAAGTTGAAGTTCTATATGAAAAGGTTCAGGTTGGACAAGAATCAGCCAAGTAGAATGATGTCGATTAAAAAAATCCACCCTACTCGATTCGGATTTGTTGTACTCGCCGTACGAATAAGCAGGCTACTTCTAAGCAAGGCTAAAAAGGAGGAAAAGAACGAAGTTCGTTCTACGACGAGGACCTACACAATTACGACAAGCTGCAAGGCCCTAGTAAACAATTTTCATATGCACATGCTCTTCGTCTTAGTTAAGCCATAAAACATAAAATTGAATCGTGTTCAAGCCCATGTCTCGCATACTCTGCAGTCGGTCCTCCCAATAGACTTCAGGCAATCTGAAATAGTGAAACGAACCAGAGTAGAGATGCGTCGGCTGTCCATTGATGTGGAACTCTGAGTTGGGACCAAGGGCGAAAGTATTTTGTTCAACATCAGTCGTGTCCTCTGCATCTCCTGAAGATGATTTCTTGACGATCGCGGTCCTCTCAAGAACTTCTCCTAAAGATGGCCCTGGTTGTACCTTCACCTTGTTCGAAGAAATAAACCTTGTACTAGTAACTAGTGCAGCAATATTGTTCTCGCCGAGTCCACCTTTGGAAAGTTTTAGGGGTCGTGGTAGTACTAGCGATAAGGAGTCTTCTTCTGCACCTCCAGTACCCTGAAGATGTAGCACGTAATAGTAGTAGATCGGAAGCGCCGAGCCGGCAATAACCGAAAGGAAAATTTTATGCATTCTCTTGATCGTAGTTGCGGTCCTTGTTAAATACTATGAATGAGAATATGAAGAAGTGAAAGTCGTGTGGCTTCCGATGAATTGGTTACGCACACTAAAAAAAGCTGCGGTTATGAACCGTATGAACGATTTTTTTGGCGTTAGTCTGGAAGGTGAAGGATTATGCTTTGCGTACGCCTTCCAAGTAGTATAGGATACAATTGCTCACTCTCAAACAACTCAACGTCAAAAGCAAAACATGATAGGCCAGGTGGAACAGAAGGATGCTTCATGATCTACCAAAGCGCCGGCTAAGTAGGTATGCCAGGGAAATTGTCTTCAACTTCATTCAACATGGATTTTAACATCCTCCTGGAGCAACAGCAATTTGATATAAGGGGACCATTGAACTATGTATCAACATATCAACATAGATGTTCTTGAAGTCGCAGTTTATTCTTGTCGTCCGAGTTGTATCATTTCGGGTATAATCTACTTCCTGCTTTAATATACGTGGTGCCAACAGTGTTTCTAAGACAGGAAGCTCATCATTTTTACAAATCTAGAGAAAGCGAAAGGTCCCTTGTCATGTGTGTGTGTCCCTGTTATGGAGGTCACTCGCGACCACCGTAGAGACAAAATGGCAGCCGACTTCAAGGTCAACCGTCAACCCCCAGATTGTCAATTTTGACTCACAAGAATGGGGATGTCAACGCCTACGCCCACCGTGCTGCAGCCAACGGATCTCAATACTTGTTCTCCAAATCCTCTTCCTCTGTGTCTGTTCTTTAATGAGCGAAAACCAAGAGTTCTGGTAACTCCAAACCCAGGTTCCGAGCAAGATTTGCATACTCATTGAGGCTGTTTTGGAATGCAGTTTGCGCTCCCGGATTCGGTGCTGCCATCTCCCTCGTGGGCACTTGGCCCGCCAAAGCGGGTAAGAGCAGTTCGCGCAACCGTCCTGCGATTTGTTCCAGTCGCAAAGCCTGAAAAGTCAACCGCAGCACCTGCGTTTCTTCTAGACGACGCAGTGGGAGAGACCCTGTCACGTGCATTTTCAACTGCTGCAACGTAGTGGGGGGCTTTTCATTTTCGGCCTCACGCAGTGTCTGAAACCGCCACGCAGAACTATCCCTTGGGACTTTCTCGAAGCCTTGTACGATCTCCTCATATACCCCAACGAGCACTGCCAGCAGCCGCCTCTTCTCTAGCAACAGGCCCACGATTTCCTCGATTCGGGCCAAGTCGCGAAGCCTCTTTAAGCATTGCGCGTCTTTGGCCGACAGGTGTTGAGCCTTGAGGAGATCCCGGAACCGTGTGCGAGCCTTTGCTTGCAAATCTGGTTGTACATGTACTCCTGCTCCTGTGGAAGACGTAGAGTTTGACTTTGACTTCGTACATGCTCCTAATGCTCGTGCTCGACAAAAGGTGCCGAAGGCATCTTGCATGGCGTTTGCAGTTTCCAAGCGCTTTTCTTGTGCAGCCTTTAATGCGTCTGCTTTCGCGACACTCTTGTTTGCCTTTTGAAGGTCTTTTTTCGAATCCTCCGTAAAACGAGCTGGCCAAAGCGTTACCTGCCATACTTCCTGTGAGGCGGTTGCAGCTGCCAACAATCCCGTTTGATGTTCCATAGCCTTCGCTGAGTTCGAACTCGCGCCTTTATTTCCACCCTGCACGGCCGCAGCCGAAGCAGCCGCAGCCTGGGCTGCGCGTCGCTTCTGCTTGTTTTTGCTTTTTTTCGCGGGCTTGTCTCCACCCGGCTGCGCACCTGTCACCTCCGATGAGTCTACGAGGGTTTGACCGGTCCGCAAGAGGGCTGTTTTCTCGGCTGAATCTTTATCCTTCGACACGACTGCATCATTTTCAACAGCGCCCTCGTCAACCTCATTCTGTTGCACTTCAGCAGTGGGACGGTCCTCTTTAATCTCCTTCGCTGTTTTCGCGTCTTCTTCTTCTTGATCGTGAGTGCAAACTGTTGCAAACGAGGTGGATTTATCGAAGTAACCCATGTCCAGCAAGAAGTCGAGCAGTTGCGTCATGACGCAAAGAAAAACGTCTCGGATTGGCAGTGCGCGCTTCGAAGGCGCTGAGCCTATCTCCGCTGATGTAGATGAGGGCTCGCTACGGTTACCATGATCCTTGCTTGTATTTTCATCTTCACCGTTGTTCGCTTTCTTCAGTGGTGATGTGTATGCGTAGACTGAACCGCTTTTCTTCTGTGCGAAATAATCAAGTCGGTCGTACCTTTGTGGCATCGGTGCATGGTTTTCAACGGCCGCTCGGAGACGTGGCAGAACGTCAGCAGGAGTAGCGAGTGCGCCCAATGCAATGGGAAAAAAGGTGCAAATCTGGTGAAAAAAGATCCAGCCTCCGGTTAGGCGCTTCAACGGCAAGGTTTCCAAGAGCTTGCTCCCCACATCGGCCGCGTTCTCGTTGTACTGCTGAATCTGCAAACACATCGGCAAGTGCCAAACCTCGGGTGCTGAGGCCAATTCCGGATAGTAGCCAAGGAGCATATGCGGATTAGAAAAGCATAGTGCACCAGTTTGATATTCCAAATAAATGCCTCGTCAGATGAAACTCTCATTCTCAATGAGCATTATTTACTTACAAATCACATTTTGAAGATGTATAGAAGCACGATAGAACCTGGGCATTTTTTACCAAAAAGAATTCTAAGGAAGCCTATTCTTAGAAATATTCTACTTTCCCTCAGTCAACATAACTAGAAGATTGTTGGCCACTCGCGTTTGCGCTCTCCTCGAGCGCGTGTCTGTGATTTGTTCTGGTCTGCTTAGCGGTCGGTACACGCGCGCGTCGCTCATGCTCTGCAGTACATCCGCTGCTTGGTGCAAAACCGCCAGTGTAGTGCCGAATTGTTCAACCTCTCCCGTGTGCGCCAAGATAGTTGTTAACGACGCGCGTAGCATCGAAAGCTGGAAGAAGCGCGTGTTTAGGTAGCTCTTGCGAGTTTCGTCACAAGCACCGTACCAGCGCTGGAAGTTGAGGTCTGACATGTTCAACACCAGTCCGAACTGGTTGAATACGTAGTCGATTTTCATCACCCACTCGAACAAAATTTTTGCTTTGATGTGAAACTCCCTTACTGCGGGATCCGTGTTCCACCGCGACTGGTGTATGAAATTAGCACGTGCGGTGTACGGGGAAGACGAGGTGGATTTCGAAGGTGAAAGAGTGCTGGAAGTCGTCGACGTCGAGTTTGTTCCTCCTCCAGCGTTCGTTCCTCCTATGGTCGTCTTCATTTCACCCTTGTCCACCATATCCAGAGGCCCGAAAAGCCTCATGAGGTCGCGAGAGCGAATCCGCTGTTGCGCGACGCATTTCTGCACCATCTTGCGGTCGAGAGAAGAGTTTGTGCCACGCCCACGACTCTACTTAGGAGTTACAACCAGTTGACCTATTTAATTGCGCGGCGCACATCTATATCTTTTTCCCCTTGAAATAAATGTCATAGATAAAGATATGCTTCTGGAGGCGGATAGGTCAACTTCTAAGCCATAACACCAGAAGATGTTTCTGCGGCTTTCGCGGTAAATCCTTCTGGGTCGATTAGGAATTCTGTGAAGCCTTCTGTGACTTCCCGCATGACCGGATCCTCTGCGACGTCGTGAACGTAGGCTGCGCGCAATAGCCACACGGACGCCATCAGCACCTCTACGACGAACATGTCCGCAACCTAGATTAGAAGTCGTACGTAGTAAAACTAGAAGTAGAACTACTGACTCTGTCCCCTAATTATAAAAAGAGATGAATGAAAGATCAAGATGAACAATGTTTTTCAAGTAGACTGAAGCTGAAACTGTTAACTATATCTACAATACAATCGATAGACGCCGTCGAAAGAACTAAGAGCCTTAACTCGACCAAGGGGAAGGGCGGATTCCTGTCTTCGTTCTCGTATGCAGAAGCGCGCATGAGCGTGCCGATGAGTGTGTCCAGCGCTCCACTGTTCAACAAGTCCGCGACCTTGATTTTCCGTTTGTTTCTACAGCATGCGCTGTAGCCAGCCTGTTCGAGGTCAGGACCCAGCTTGCAATCGTACGTCTCCTTGAGAAACCTCGAAACCGGTGAAAGGTCGAGTAAAAACTGAAAGACGACCGCCGTTTCGGCGGCGCGCTCGAATAGCTCTGCGTCGGCGGGCAGAATAATGAATAATGGCTCCCCACGACCGTCAGACGGTCGAGAAGTCATCGCTTTGTTGTCACGCCATCGGACGCATGGAATCTTGTCCAGCGTATCCGCATCCCAAACAGCGTTTGATGTTGACTGGTTACCACCTGTTGTTAGTTTTTGTTGTAGAGGAATAAGTAGTTGTCGAGTACCCGAAAGTACTTCTATCTTGTTGACCTTCACCTTGAACATGAGTGCTTGTTAATAAATTAAAGTCATTCCACCTTGATGAAAGCAGAGTAGAAAAAAGCCCCAGTCGGGGAAGTCACATCTATAAAAATTATCGAACAATTTATAAGATTTGGCAGCTCGCATGGCATGGATCGTATGGAGTTGCATGGAGCTAACGGGAGCGCTTCTTGCGTCCCTTAGCATGGATCTGCGCTCCATGCTACTCCATGCTGCACCATGCGTGCTATAAACCGGAGGGGGGTACTATCGTAGTCCACCTCGCACACGACAGGATGAGGATAAGATGAAAGAAAACCTTAAACTAATATTCGCATTGCTAATGTTATTGCATCGCCCCATAAATCACAATATTGAACGTACCACCAGAACGCGGGGAGCTAACATCATCCGCATTCACTGGTCCACAGTTGTAGATGGCTAGCACACTCTGTGCAATACGTGCTGCGCGATCGTGTTCGCCATGAAGCATGAACATGTCAAGGACGATATCCGCAAGACACGTAGCCAGCATTACAAACGAAATCTGCAGCATCGTGGGGTCATCCAAGTACAGAATATCTCCACTCTTGTTCTTCGCATTTGCAGAGAGCTTAGAGTGTGAGTGCGAATGTGTGAATCAAATATGCGTTGTGGGCAATCTTGAAATCAAATCCAAAGAGAAGTAAAAAAGGGGCACGATCGAATCGGATTATTTGTTATCGTCCATCATCCATGAGAAAAACAGTATGCACTACTTGTCGTCCATCATCCATAAGGAAAAAGAAGACTCTCCGATGAATAAGGTTAAGGACAATGAAATAGGAGAAACTCTAAAAAATATAAGAGGCGATCTTCATAAATTTTCGATTCGCGGACTTTCCGCAAATTTTGCGAAGTGGAACGAGGCGTTCCTCGTATACCAGCAGTTCTAGGAAGAAGAGCAAAAAGTCGACGACAGGTTTGCATTTTTCTATCCGAAGGTCAAACACGCCTTCGTCGCTTCCTCCCGGGCCAGTTTTCTGTATTGTCAAGCAGCCATTGAACGCGACCGATCCCGCGGTTTGGGTCAAAAAGTCCACGAGCCCTGTACGCAAGGCATCCACATCACTGTGTCTCTGCCAGTGACGTTGCTCCATCTCACGCAAGGCTTTGAAGCATTTACGGCAAAGCACTTCTCGCTCTTTCCCTTGCCGGAGAGATAATCCACGGATCTGCTTCTCCAATGCCACAATCAAAGTAAACTCCAACTCCTCCCTCAGATCTGCGACTGCCATCTCCGCCGCCGTCGTCAAACTACAAGGAGAAGATGTACTTGTCGCACTTGGCGTGCTTCCACGTGTATTTGTAGTTGTACTGTTTTGTTTCGAGGCTAGAAAGTTCTCAATGGTAGTAACGCAGTGAGCAAAGCGGTCTTGGGTCAAGTGCTCCAGTGCTTCGTCCAAGACGCAACTGTACTGGTCGCATGCTGCCGTTTTGTCCGCCTCCGCTTGTGCCATGGACTCCCTCAAGTACTCCTCATATTCGACGGCGTCGAATGTGGCTAGCAGTCCTGTATCCCGGTCTACCCAGATACGCAAGCGTCGTGGCTCGCCACGTCTTCCGGGAGCACCAGAAGCACAAGCGCCTCCACCTCTATTAGACGGAGCAAACAAGAGGTTCTTGCTTTTGATGTCCACCTTTGCTGTAATATGTCTCGTCGTGTGATTTCGAGGACGATTTTCTGCTTCGATAGCTTGCACTATCACACTGTCAAACACATCTAGGCGGATAGCACCCTGATGCACCACGACGGGAAGACAACCACATCCACCCTTGGTGAAGATATGATGGGATCCAGTGATCCGCTCGAGCGTCCAACCACGCCCACGGAGGTACTTGAAAAGAACGTCAGGTCGAACCATCGTTGTTTTTGTCGGTAATAACTCTGTAAGTAACTAAGAGGTAGACGAGGGAAGTAAGAAATATATATATTACAAGTTGTAAACCCAAGCGGTATATGATCTCATGGTATTCAAAATAAAAAAATGTAGTTCTTGTAGCCTCTAGATTGCATTCTATTCTGTTGTCAAGATCGAGATCTGATGTCGCTAATATTGTATGCGGGGGTGGGTCGTGTAGATATGAGATCATTGAATTCGACTTTGACTGCTATGGAAGAATCAATCCTGCGCATAAAATGATGAATGGCCTCGACGGTGTTTAACAAGAGGACCAGCAAACTCATTTAGAATCTTATCATTCAAAATCGCACACAAGGAGAATTTTTGGGGTATCCACAGGTAAGCTAGGGGTATGGAGTAAAAATTTTTCTGTGTCGCCATCCGATATGAACAGCATATCCAAGCTCTCTCATCTTTATGAAAATTCGATCAAATTCCTTAATAGTTTTTAGTGAGACAACTTCTATGAGCGCAGAAAATTGAGATTCTGAATCCGAACGGCAATCAACCACGAGTATATAATCTTTTCGATCATGTCCGGAAAGTAGTGAAGCAAAGTTTTATTTGGCACAAATAATATTCTTTCTACCTCCGTAGTAGAAGGGGAACCAACTTGACATGCGCTCTCAATTCTCGTGATTTAAATGATCACTGTGATGAAGGCTTTTTCTCCTGCTCGCTCATGCACATCCACCAGATCATAATTCAAATACAACAGGAGCATTCAAATACATTTTTAGATGAAATACTTACAACAACTCTTCTACCTTTCATCGCAGCGCTGGTGCTGGTCCTAAACATTTTCGGATGTTGTACCAGCCACAGCCTCATCTTCAGGAGTAGAATCTTCAGTCTTCGACGGAGAAACCTTGGAGATGGAGGTGGCCAGACGCTTGGCCGCTTGGTTCTTCTTCAGCTGGGTGATTTGCGCACTCGTGACTTGGTCCATTTTGAACTCCATGAGCATTTCCGCAGACCAAAGCACCACGTAATCCGAACGGCAATCTACAGATCGATCCATGAAACAGCCATGATCTGCTTTCTGATATTTGATGGAGACCTGTGACAGACACTGGGTCTCTAAATTCACATCCCGGCAGCAAAGCTGCCTCAATGGAAAGATGCGGCGAGCGCTGTCAAGCTCAGGGATCAGAACTTCCCAGAAAGTCACAATCAGCCAGACGCCAGTAGGACACTTTCTGCACTCCTAATGCGGTGTTCTCGTACTAAGTGCATCTTTGAAAACTCTTCGTCTTCCTGCACTCGTTTGTAATTCGACTCTGAGTTGTTCAGACTGGTGTAGCATATTAGTCGTTTCTCGTTTTTATCAACTGGACGTAGACTCATCAAGACTTAGAAAAGGACTCGTATTTTATTTTCTGTTCTCGGTTCGTTGACGTGGAAATAGAAAATCGTTTAGTGGATAAGGCTTGTGTATCTACGGATTGATAAGACTTGTAACTCTAAGCAGCAGCAATGCGCGCTGACAATTCTAAGTATTCATAGTCAGTGTTAGTTCGGTAAAAAAGATAGAGAAAAGGAAACAGCAACCTTGTGTTTCTAGTGACACTTTGGCCACATTATAGAAGCTTCCCTTTGAAATTTGAGATTGAGGGACATTATAGAAGCTTCCCTCTTCTAGAATCATCCTTCCACTCTTTCTTCAGGAGGCACATTGGCCCAATTCCTCACTGACCTGAGTCTTTGCTCCTGCCGCTTCTTCTGCAGATGCTTCAGTTTATCGGCTGTACTCAGTACTCCTGTTGGTTTAGAAGACGATGAGGAGGAAGATGCGCTGTTTATTCCTATTACTTTGCTCGTAGATAGAGTTGTACCAGAAGTAGAGCCTCCTGCAACAGCCTTAGCATTTTCTTCAATCAGAGAACTCAAATTCAAGCCATCTTCTCCGCCCACTTCTAGGGGCAGGGGTCCACCTCCTGCTCCTCCATCATGTAGATGCCCGTGTCGTCCATCTTCGTGAGTTTTCCTACCTTCTATTCTCTTCCCATTCAGTTCCAATTTCGCCATTTCCACCTTCTCTCGTGCACGAGTCAAGCGCTGTGCACTTCTGGGACGCTCGGCACTTGTTGGTCTAGATCCAACTCCTGAGGAAGAAAAGGCTGCTGATGAAGAGGACTGTGGTTGTTGAGACTGATGCTGAAAATCTAACTCCACCTGTTGGTGTGAAGCAACTCCTCCTGACGTTGCACCACTACTGTCCTGTATCAACATCTGTTTTTGCATTTGTCGATTATTGTGCGTCGTCGAGTCCAACTCCTGTCGTAGGACTAAATTTTGTTGCTCTAGATTCCTCAATGCCTGCTCCACTGCATACAGCTTCGTCTCCATCGCTACGCTTTTCTCATTGTTGTTGGCTGGGATGGCATTGATTTCCACTTGACCAGCAGGTGCGAAGGATACGTGTTTACTCGGCCTAGAAGTACTTGATGAATTATTGCCGGCAGGCGTTGTTCCGTTTGGCGTTGATGTTGATAGATACATCGACTGCTGCTGGTACTGCTGTAGCATGCTGGTTCTATTTGGGGTGTCATTACCCGTAAGAACCGGAGGAAGATCTACAGGCTGTCCTACTCCGCCTAAAAATACTGAGCCAGAAGCTGGTGCACTAGACGTCGCCATTTCCTGTAATTCATATTTCAGCTTGTTGGATAGTTCCATCAATTTTGACCTTTCTGCGCGCAAAGATTCACCTTCCCGCTTGAGTTCCTGAATTCGCGTTTTCAAGCTACAGATTTCTGCATCTTTCGCGGAAAGCAAACCGTCGTAATGCTCTTTCATCCGCTGCAGAGCTGCGCCCGTGGTTGCATTACCACTACCCTGCGTTGGCGGCGGATAACGCAGATTCTGGTGCGCGAGAGCGGGCGACGCTTGCTCAGAACCGCCCATATTTGAGGATGTTGACCGCCCAAGGTTTTGATGAGCATCAAAAAGATTCGCTTTTTGTCGATCCACAGAAGCTCTTGCTGCATCCACGACGGATGAAGATGAAGAGCCAGATGAAGATGACGATGAGGGTTTGTGCTGAACACCTTGTTGATCATGAATACTGTTCAAATTCAGCGTGCTGTTCATGTCAACTAACTCCTGTTCTCGAGCGGAACCTCCTCCTCCACCATCTAGATTCAACTGTCTCGCTTCTACTGCTTTCCTCATATGCTGAATCACAGCGCGACATTCTACTAGTTGCTTCTGCAACTCCGCGTTCTCGTTTCGGACAGCTAAAAGTTGTTCTCTACTCTGTTCTACTTGAAGATGTTGAAGTTGTTGCTGCTGATGTGGTGCTGGAAGTTGTTGAAGTTTACTTGTTCCGGTTGAACCTCCCACCTGTCCGCCCTTGTTGTTCATGACGGGTCCGAAATCCCCAGAAAAGAGAGGATCAAAACTGCCCTTCATCTCCGCATTGCTGGACGAGGATGATCCGCCCATCGTTCGCTGAAAGTCTAGTTCTGCTTGTATTTAGAGGTTGTACTGCGTTCGCATTCCTGAGAGCCTCCCTCGACCCTTTTTCCCCTTGAAAAAAGGGCTAAGGATCGATGGTGTTGAAGAGGATGCTCCAGCGGTAGCCTTAATGTAGACGTTCTAGATCCCTTCGATGGTTTCGTTCGTCTTGCTCCCGAGCATCTTTTAACGCCTCAACCTCGGTCTTGAGAGCTCTAGTCTTGCGTTCTTCCTCCAGCAACGTAGCTCTCACGGATTCTAGTTCTTGCCACCGCAGTCCGGCTGCACGCTGTTCGCGGTCCAGAGAGTCCTTGAGGCTGGCCGCCTCCTGCTCCTTCAGTCGCAGTTCCTCTGCCACCCGCGCTTGTGCGAGCTTGTGCTCCTCGGTTGCTTCGGATAGTAGTTCTTTCCTTCTCTCAGTTTCCTCCCTCTCCCTCCGCTCCAACTCTTCCCGCGCTGCTAGGATTTTCACCTGCTCATTAAATGAGGGTGCAAACATGATTACAAGTGTTGCTTAAAACCAGCATGTTGAGGTGGTCATGGTATCACTTTCACTTTGTTTGAGTTTGTGTACCTTTTATAAGCGATAGTAGTTTCATCTGTAGTTTCATCATGATGTTGACGTTATGATGTTAAATAAGAATCACGAGAAATAAGAAGCAAACTACGTCTGAAAAGACGATAGTTGCGGTGGAGCCGACCTAACTAGCAAAAAGAAAGACCAGAGGAAGATAGAAAAGAGAACGAGGTAATTATCCTCAAAGTAGTTTATTATATCGCAGTCGAGATCAATTCCTTTCTTTATCTTTCTCTTCTCTTTTTCCTTGTTTTTCACTTGTTTGTTTCTTCAACAAAGAACCGTTTATTTACAGTACCTCGCATTCCTTCCGCACCCTATCCACTTTTTCCCTGCACAGGCGTTCCATCTCCTGGATCCGCCGATTCGCATCGGATTTGACAGCGTCTAGTTTTAGAGCAGCTCACCTTTACTTGAGGATTCTACCGAGGACGATGGGTTAGCGGAAGCCGTAACACTTGCTGTTCCGCATCCTTCTGCAGGATCTGAACCGTTTGCTCTTGGGTTTCTCTTTGTTTCTGGAGCATTTGCTGCTTCCTGATATCTTGCGCTTTCTGCATATCCACCACTTGACTCGAAAGTTGTTGCTTTTCGGCTTCCAAAGTAGCAACTTTAGCAGCCAAGTCACGCCTCTCAGAGTCAAATGCGGACCCGCTGCGGTCGTGCTCAACTGGTGGTCAGTTTGTACACGAGAAATGATCATGTTGTAATTATGGAGACACTTTATTTCGTGGTTTTGAAAACAGGTGCTCGAGGAAAATTATTTCAATGCAAAAGAAAGAAAACGGGAACCCCTCAAAAATAATACCTGTGAGTTTCTCCAGCAAGTCGGTCGCATGCTTGCGAGCTTGTTCAGTACTTTGGTAGCGTCTCTGCAACTAGGATGAAAAAGAAAGCACCAGCACCTTTGACGCAACTTCTAGAAACTAGTTGGGACCACACTCAATTCAAAATCATAAGTAGGACTACACCTAGTACAAAACTGATGAAGATGAATCTCTACAACCACTCTCCCACCCTCGAGTAGTACGTAATCAAGCATCTACAACTACAATCTCATTTGTTCATACTCCTTCATACGTCGGTCGACTCAGATTGCAGCGCGTCGCGTTCCGCTATCGTATGTGCGAGCTCTCGTGCCGCTGTCTCTGCTCGGTCTTGCAAGGCTTAGAGTAGTAGATATGTTCGTGCAGACAGAGCAGTTAGAAGGTACCACAACAAGGCAGAGTTTGTGGTACTCGATATGGTCGTGCAAGTACAACTGCAATATCTGCTGTAAGTACCTCAAAGAAAACAGTTACGGGGAGCTTGTGGAAGTGGCCAACAGCTACAACACCGAGTAGCACTAAAAGGAAACTACATGCAGATAGCGACATAATATCAGCGTTCTACCAGTTAGTCTGCCTCATAAAACTCATGCAACGACGCCTGCGAAATTGCTTCCCTTGCCACGCTCTCTTGTCTGAGCATGCCCACTTCAGATCGCAACTGTCTTTGCATATCCTGTAGTCGCTCCTCATGCTGTTGCTGCATTTGTGCCACGTGGGACTTCGCACTGGTGCGGAGCTGGTGGAAACAGATGATTGATGCGATGTCGACGACGCAATGGGCGACACGAAAATGAAAAACATGTAGCAGAGCGAATAAGGTAGAAGAGCGAATAGGTCGTCATCACAGAGAACTGATGATCTCAGAGTCATAGAGAACAACGTATCAATCTAAGAGTCATAAAACATTCATGATCTAATAGTCATCCTGGTCTTAGTACCTTCTCCACCAGCTCCTTGTGTGCGAGATCTTTCTTAGCATCCAAATGCTCCAGTTCTGTGATTCTTCGTTTTAAAGATTCACTTCCTTGGAGGATCGTCTTCAGTTCTGCTTCTTTTTCTCCAGATTCTCTGTCTCGGTCTATTCGCACTTGCTCCAGGTGTTCTTGTAGCGCTGGGGATTAGAGCCGGCATTCTACAACACCAGCTGCACAGTTTTTACTGCAACCCCAGTATGTATGCTCGAATAGATTCCCGTTGCCAATGTTTCGCCAGCTTTGCTTTGATAGAAGAAAAAGAGCAAAGAAAAACTTTGAGAACATGACGCACCCCCGGACACCATGCTTGTGTGTCCGGTGCTATGAAATTGAAAGAAGAGGAGCCCCCCGCCACAACCGCGCGAGGCTGCTACGAAGGAGCAGCCCCGCAGGGGCTGGCCCCCTCTGTTCAGTCCGCTCTCCTGGTGCATAAGCCTGCAGCGCTGTAAAGACACACGCGGGACATCGATCCCCAAGCGTGGCGCCCTGCATTTCTCCCTCAGGCAGGAGACCTGGAGCGGCGGGCCGAACTGGGTACCAGTTTGAACCCCATCGCGCTCATAGGTGGCTGGCCTTTCCGCGGCCCTGGACAGAGCGCGGGCCGCGTGGGCGGGCCCTGGTTGTCCTTACTTCATACGCACTGCGAGGTTGGCGCCGCACCGTTATCCGCGCAAACCGAAGCCCCCCGCGGGCCTCTCGTGATCAAGCAACCGCGGCGCCGCATATCTTCACACGCAGGCGTCTGCCCTGCTTAACCTTCTGACGGGGCGGCGGCATCTCAAAACCTGCCGCCGCTAGCCCCACTTTTTCCAAAAGCCCAGTCTACTAACCCAACCACCGGCGAGCTGCATGCACACGCTGCGACTGGGGGCAGCCGAGTTCCCTAGCCCTAGCGGCTCAAGCAAGGCAGGCGCAGTGATGAAGTGGCGCGCCGCGGCTTCCCAGGTGGCGCGCCCACTCCCTCGAGCGGGTCGGCGCGTGTCTACTTGATGGGCCACCACGTGCATCGCCGAGCACGACACTGCAAGGCCGACGGCTGCCCGCACTTTTGCAAGTGTTGAACGCTGTCACTTTTTCAGGGAGATCGCGCGACCCTGCGGCGGTTGGCTGCGCCGCCTCCCTCCGTTTTCCTCTGTGCCCAGCCAAGTTCTGCCGTGATACTTCCGCCCTGGGGTCTTGGTCTTGGCCCGCAGCCACATGGGGCCGCCGTATCGCCGCAGCTGCCTCCTGCCGGGGGCCTTCTCGCCCAGCTCCTGCCCCCCGGCACCATACTCCACCACAGCCAGCCCGCGAAACGGCTCCGCGCTCTCAACTTAGCAAAACCTTTCCGCGCCGCGCGCTGCGGTGATCAAAGACATGCCCGGCCTTACGCGGCCCCTATTCGTAAAACCAAAAAAAGAACCGACGCGCCTGGCGCTGTCTGTATCGTCAGCGTGGAGAGTGCTGGCGGCGTGATGTGTTCGGAAATGAAAAGAGAGACGAAGCAAACCAAACCAGCCCAAGGGACTCGCGGGAACCTACTGCCAGCCGAGTACTTTGCTGAATGTTCCCCGCAGGCTGGCGCTAAATTTTCCCCGTGTTACCTTCTGGAACGTCTGAGCCCAGGCGATCGCCCACTCGAGCGCCGGGCTTTTTTCGGCTGATTGGAAAAACACTCCACGCCTGCCCCTGTGGTCGTGCTAATGCGGTGTCTGTCTGGCCTGAAGCTCCCGCAGGACCACGAAAGGACCCAGGCAAGGACGGCGCCGGCGCGAAAGCAAGAGATGACTCAGAAGGACGCCGAACCGCCATGGAAAGAGCTTCTCCCTGTTCAGCCAAGAACTACAACGTCCGTATGACTATTTATACTGTCATTCATAAAACAGCTTTGTCTCCCTCTCTGCCAACTTTTTCTGCAAATTTACATCTTGCTTCTCCAGATGCTGCAGCTCTTTGTCTCTATCCGCAAGCAGGCTCAAGTTGTACTGAAAATCAGTTTGCAGTCTTGCAAAGTCTCCACGTAGCTGTGTCACCTGCTTCTCCCGTTCCTGGATGACCACAATTTAGAGTGTTCACGCAGTACTAGACGCAAGTCTATGTGTAAGTAGTCGTGGTGCGATGAATCATGATCTAAAAAATCTAAATTGAAAAGTTCGAACAGATTCGTCGTCCTGGAAAACTCGTGGTAGAAAACTCGTAAGTAGTAGAAAACTCGTGGATGGTCCACCCATTATCATCATCATCTATCCTGTCTTCAGTCCCATCATGCATCCAGTCATAAGTCTCTAACTCCTCAAAATGTGTGGCATTCAAACTCTGCATCTCCATTTCTTTTGCGCGTATGAGCTCCCTCACCGACAAAACCTTCCCAGCAACGGCTGAGGGAACGGCCGAAGGGGCCGACGAGTCGAGCTGTGGCACCGGCATGGCGATCGCGATGTTTTCACGATGCTGCTTGAAGACGACTTGTTGGAGATGACGACGCTGAACAGGAGATCACGAGCAAACTCGGCAAATATGCATTCTTCGAGGTGGCACGGGCGTCGCGTGGTCTCGTGCCTGCGTCTCCACGAGACGCGGAGGTCATGACTGCCGCGTTTCCATTTTGCATTTCCTTCGGGATACGTATCTACTTACTGCAGCGTCAGCTACTTCTATTTACTTCCCTAGAAATAGTACTAGTCGGAACTATTCGTAGTGTTTACAACTAAGTAAAACCCACACTCACAGTCTTCTCTTTACACCGCAGACCATTCACCTTGATGCAACATTTGTGGTCTTTGTTGCCAAAGAAAACACCATCATTGAACAAATGGGCAGATTCCTCACAAGTGCTCCTTGCGTTTGCCACTGCGCACTTCCTGATGGTAGCCGTACTGGCAACTGCGTGCTTTGCCAGTCTTTATGAGGTTGTTCAGAGCGTTTCTTATTCTTTCTTTATCTGTACAACACTCATCTTTGCATTGTTCATCTAGCAGTTTTTGTCTGCAGCAACACATTCTCTACCTTTTCATCTTGTCCTCAATTGCTAATGAGTATGATCATCGAACCTTGATAACTCGAACATATTCTTACGTCGATGGCGATGGATAAATGCGGTGGCAGCTGCAGACAACTGCCTGCATGTTCTCAATAGAAAACAGTTCACGGTTACGGTGTTCAGTCACAGTATGGAAAATATTTCACACGTACGGTTAGCTACGGCTAGCAAAAAAAAAAGTATTCAGTAGAGCACGATAGACCTTCTTCTAGAATTCCAGCTTTCCTCATATTCTCCCCAACAAGCACATCTTGACATGATCAAAATCTACTACTCATCATCCTCTTTGTTATTCTTCACCTGGAAATCTTCAGGATGCACCGGATGAGACAGCAACGGTTTTGTTGGATGCTTACTAGGGTTAAACTCCAAAGCGTCCTGAGCCATCCACGCATAGTGGTGCGTAGCGTTGCTCCGCAGACTCAGCTCCTTGACACCCTGGACCAAGACGACGACTACTAATTGCTCCCCTATAATTAGAGCTCCAAACTACAGTATTTGACTCACTTCATCTTGCCTTACAATTGGCTTCAGAACCTCAAGAAGGAAACGGAATGTGGAATCTTCAAGAGGTTTTCCCTGAGATGAGAGTAGTCGTAAATTTTGTGAAGATACCCCCGAAGAGGATGGATGCGCGGTCCTGGAAACGACCAATGTTGTTGAATGTCAAGCCTTAATATAAGGAAGACAAGGAAAAAGATGAACAGCTGGACTATGAATTCCAGTGTGTGAAACGTGGAAAAAGAGTTGTCGCCGAGAGCGCCAGGACCAAAGGTACTTTTGTAGGACTGGACGTTGGCGGAAGCGCTGGGGTTAGAGCGTGTGAGTGATTGCGGCTTCAAATAATCAATCTTGTCCAAGTAGGAGTCCGTCAGTCTACTTGGAGGTTTAGGTTTGGTACTGTCCCTTTGTTTAAGTTGGAATTACAAGAACGCTGCATCGACTTGAATCTCTCCACAAACTCCGTAGTACTTGCTCATAATCACAGATGTCGCATAGTATCGGTAGTAATTGTCCACGCTTCCACGGAGAGCATTGTCTTCGGCTGACGTCAAGAAATTGCCGGAGAGTATCCTCAGAGGCGCTAGTAGTCCGATATTTAAAGCTCAGCACTCAATGGTCACTGACTCTGAAAGAAATGGGCCCCATGCCTCTCCCTTTGCTTTTCCTTCATTTTCCCCCCGTTGGTTCTCTCAAGAAGGGGTCGCCAGTGACCAACCCCAATGACCATTGAAAGCTGAGCCTTAAGATATAGACCAGTTGACTGTGGGCTGCATCGCGGGAGACCATTGGTATCCCACCCAACAGTCCTGCTGCCAAGCTTGGAACGTATATCCACGCGAAAGACGCAAGGAGCAATGGGCGTACTGTTTTGCCCCCAACGCGAGCGGCAAGGCCCAAATGCGGAAAGAAACACGAGAAGTAGTTCAACATCGTGGCCATCACTAGAATTTGGAGAACTCCGCTGACAGCAGCCAGCGTGACGCGACCACTACTGGCTGAGCGCAAGTCTGTGCTCACATAGCTTGGCGGCGCTATTTTAGAGGTTGGAGCATCTTGGTGTTAGCTTCTCCGATATGTCTTCTTTGAATGCTTCCACTCATTCCGAGTGTCGATAGGGGCATGTCGTTCCCCTTCTGTAGGCCCTTCTTGTTTAGGTGGAACGACGTTCCCCTAGTATAACTTGGATTCTCAATGAGTGGCATCATGACACATTCTTAGGTGAAGTTATGATTGCTCTTCGTTCTTATAGGGAAAATACAACCAACTATATAATAAACAGAAAAAGATGATACAAGATAGCATCACTACTAACCCTGTACTTGAAGTGGGAGCACATGTTGCTATTCATCTTCCCTTAACTATTGCAGAATAATAAACAGATGCACCCTTCCCTTAACTATTGCAGGTGTAGTTTCCGTGACGGCCAATGTTGTATTCACGCGCTCAGCTGCGAGAGCGTTGGTGACCGAGCTACCATCGATGCCGTGTCCGACGGAGAGGAGGATCGCTGCATAGGTAACGACGAAGAGCAGGATGAGAATTTGCAAGCCGTGCTTGCGGAAAGGATATTAGAGGGGAGCACTCTACTAAGATGTGAGGTTAAGATGATCCAGGCACCACCGTCATTGATCTCAATTGTCAGAAGTTGCCAATGCAGTTTGGAGACTATGCTTATGGAACACGTAGGTAGGCTGAAGCTGGCACCACATTTATCCATCGCCATTCTTCGTAAGTGCTTCGTCATAAGAAAAGACCTCTCTTTCTTCTTCGAAATATGGCTTGAAAATCCGTCTCAGCGCTAGGCCCAATACAGCCAAGCAAAAGACTATTGCGAAAACTAGGGAAATGGTTTGCCCAGTCAATATTGCACTATCGTCGAATGGCAAAACTGTGGCAGCCAAACTCGGATAAACCCTGCCAGTGACCCGGAAATCAAAGAAGAGGCGGGAATATGAAAGAGAGAGAGCGACAGATGTTGAGGGAGACGCGCAGGCAGGTTTCTACTTTATTTCAGTTCGTCATATAATAGAGCAAGCTCTAGGGGTGCCAGATCCGAGATGGGATGGATCGGATGGATCGAATGGAACGGATGGACTTCCCACCATTTCAAGGAGGACCGGAAGGCTTAGCAGGGGGGTCCATCCGATCCATCCAAGTCCATCCTACATCCGTTCTATAAATTATTCTAACTTAAGTATGTACCACGGAGGGGGGCTCCCCCTGTGGATTTTCCAGTTCAGCTCAAGCTCAACAACTCCATTTCTTCACCATAAAAGCCAAACCACACTCCTTGCCCCAGCGTCATGCGCATAGGCAGTTGCTGGTAGGTAGTAGAAAGCGTGCACCAAAAATGCACGCGCGTTCGATAGCAAATCTATTGGCGGATACAGAACCGACGTCCGGAGGTCAGTAAATTAGAACAACTGAGAGAAATCCTAATCCATCTTCTATAGGGCTTGTGTCCCGAAGATGGTAGTTCTTTTCCCTTAGAAAGCGGCCTCCCTTGGATGGATTTCGTGTACCTCTAGACGGAGCCTTAACTCAAGAACGTTGTAGGCGTTGAGCTGCTCAGGGTGTACAGTGCTGGGGTGACCAAGGCTAATTCATTCGAAGCCATCGCGGTTCCACCAACATGATCGAAGGCAGTGGAATCGGAGATGTATGAACGTTGCCAAAATATGGAAGTAGATACTGTTGAGCAGTATAGCTTGATATTGATTTCTAGAATGTATACTTTGATACTAGTATTGATATTATAATCAGGAACTACATTCTTCATCGTGTGTACTTTGATACTGGGAGGTGGATGGGCAGGAACATCGTCATGTACTGGTCGTGGTCGGCCCATCCAAGCATAACTCATCAAAGAACTGCGACGCGGCACCACGGTAATCACCGACCCATGCCTGACTCAAGTCGTCTAGGGCCTGGCGTGGTCTGTAGCAATCCGGAAAAAAGGTCCCAAAAGATGCTTTCAAAGACGTCGCACGACTAGTGCGGCATGAGTAAGAGGGTGCGTCTGAATAAGGAACTGACTGGAGTTGTCGTGGTTCTGCTGCTGACACTGGTTCTGAGGAAGAACGAGTAAATTCGTCTGGTGACGTTGAGGAACTCGAAGTAGATGTTGGGAAAGGAAACGAGGCACGAGACGGATGTTGGTCAAGGGAGGTCGACTCTGGAACGGTGACTTGATCTTGATGTTCATGTCCAGTTGGGCTGAGGATGCGACGCAACTCAGAAATTGGTATCACAGCTTTTTTGCCTTCACTGTTTGCGGTAACAACAGGAAGCGAAACTACAAACTGGGGCTTCCCTTTGTCTGCTTTTCTTGACGCTGCCTGTATGTCTGAGGTACGGGAAGACTCTTCCGGTGAAGAGGACATCATCATCCCACTACTATCCTCCTCTCCGCCACTGCTCCCGGTATACTCTCCCGTTGCCCACAGCATTCGCGCACCACCACCAGATGCATTAGCTGATGCATTTGAAGAGTTTGTTACATTACCTGCTGTTGTATTACTCACGTTCGCCGGAGGTGCTGGCGCGACCCATGGTATGCAAGTAGTCGGTCCCGTATAGGTGGTGACATTGGACGACATGTTAGACCCGTTGGTTGAATTACTAGCCACTGCACTCGTTAATTCTCTGATGTCGGTACGACTGTCGCCACTGTTTATTATCCCTTCTCTCATTGTCATGGAAGTCTCTGCGTCTGCGCCAGCCGTTACTTCTTTCAGAATCCGTGAGGACCCGCTACCAGCTGACGCGTTGCTCGCATTCGTGTTCGTCCCGTTACTACTGTAGTTGCTTGCGTTCGTACTATTATCTGGATAGTAAGTCCAAGGAAAACAGACATAGGACACTGTGGTTGTCGTGGTAGTTGTGGTGGTCGGTGGAAAAGCTAGGTCACTAGCAGGCGAAATTAGGCTTCCTGAACTAACTGTCAGAGCCGAGACGGACACGGCGAACGTCAGATTCACGGTAGAAAGATTTGTTTGTGCGATCAACGATGCGATGGCGTTGGAGAGCACTGCTGTGCCAAAAGTTGCACTGTTCTGCGCCAACAGCGCATCAATCGCGCCTAAGGCTGAAATAGGGCTGTTGGTTGTCAAGATGAACAACGTCGTGGCTGTTTCAGTAGTGGTTCCAGCTAAGGTGTCATTGTTATACGCTGACGGTGTTAACTGGCGATAATTGTCTGCAGCAGTAGATGTTGTGTCGACAACATAGTTGTTAACATAATTTTTGTCAGCAAGCTCACTACCAGAACCAAAACTAAACGTCTGCTGCTCATCCTCAGAAAAGAAAGAAGAAGAAGCAGAAGAAGAAGAAGAAGAAGAAGAAGAAGAAGAAGAAGAAGAAGAAGAAGAAGAAGAAGAAGAAGAAGTTAAAGATGTAGAGGTTTTTAAAGATGTAGATGAAGATGTCGACTCTTGTTGTTCGTCCCCATTCTCTTCGTCCTCAAGAGACCTGAGCACCGGATCAAAGGGTCCGAAGTCGTCGCCTTCCTCTGAAATCTGATAGGACACTACTTGGAGTTCCTCTACGTTCTTGAGGAGGGGATGTAGTTGTTGAGTCTTCTTGGTAAACACCAGAGGACGCTCACGCTGCGCCGTTGGTCCAATAATACGAGTTGTAGAAGAAGTAGATGCACCATCATCGATGTTGAGCATTTTTGTCGAAGTTGTTGTATCATCACTGCCTATTTCCTGCAATGCTCGCAGCAGCGTCGTCGCTGTAGCCCATCTTGTTTCCGCTGTTGTCTTTCCCCCATTCTCCATGACACCACTTGTGCAAGTCGCCACTGAGGAAAACACCAAAGGAAGGAGAGGTGCGCAGAATTGTTGATGTGTCGCTACGTGGATGGCAGACTTGAAAGCTGTCACGATGTCCTCAGGTAAAGTTTCAGGCCACGACACTGATTGCACGATCATGTGACCAGTCTGTGAAGTGCTCCCTGAAAATAGCGTCGCTCCTGCTGCCGCGATGCTCGAAATAGCCTCGCTTGCTGGCGCAGTTGCAGCATTAGAGTGCAGTGCGAGTGAATCGTCCATCCCGGCCCCCTCATCATCCAGAAGGTACCTTCCTTTCCCCTGTCATCCTTTCCCGTGGGAACAAAAGGACCTTCCTTATTTCCCCTTTACCTTTCGTCCCGTGGGAACAAAAGGGCAACAATATGGCATGAGAGAACGACGAGAAGGAGAAAAGCTGACCATAAGAGAAGGACGCACTAAAAAAGGATACAAGTGCACTCTTCCTAACTGAAACAAGGCGTCGTCAGACGTAGCACCTGTGAGAAGGGTGCTGAGGGAATCGCGGAAATATTCTATGACGTCAGGGCGACTACGAATATCGCTGAGAGCGCGGTTGTGTGCCGTTGCCGCTGGATCTTCCCAGATAGTGCCAGCAGCTTGAGATTGCAGTAGAGTGGAAGCGCCGGTCGCTGCTAAACCTCGTCTCGATCTGGAGGAAGATGGTTGTGCTTGTTGTGTATCTACATCTATGTAGTTATCAGAGTCAAGAAGTCGTCTCGAAGGGGACAACTCATCTTGATCTTGTTCTTTAGCAACGGTGCTTGATGAAGTTCCTCCTCTTCTTGATGTCCCACTAGTACCTCCACTTCCTCCAAGTCCCTTCAAAATTTCGAAGCGATTTCTTCTTCGACTGGCAAGCGTATTCGCCTCGTTGCTGATTGAGGTGCTAGAAGGAGAAGTAGACATGTAAAAGTCTTCAACATCTTCACGACCATTCATCTCAGGCTCATCGTCCAAGGGACTCTCTTCCGCAGCTTCATGTAAACTGCCATCGCCACCCTCTCCTTCATCCAGCAATTCCAGTCGCCTCCGCCTGCTTACCCCTGTCGGCGGCACAAACGCTAGTTTTGTTCGCCGCGCTTCCGAAAACCGTCTTGATTCAGACATCAGCAAAGTCAACCTCTGCTTCACTCTCGCCGCCACCATTGCGTTTCCATCCCCACCGGTGAAACAAAAGTACAAAGAGAGTTAGAGCTCACACTAAATAGTCACTAATTCACCCCTCGCAGTGATACCCTCCGAATCGTCCGAGAAGGAAACTGAGGGAGACACTCTGAGTAGTGTTGAAGATGAATCAAAATCAACATGTTGCTTGGAGCAGGGATCAAGCTACGAGATAGAGGGAAAACTAACCAGTTGTTTTACTTATAATGAAGATCGCCCGGAACACCTTACCTCATGAGTAGAAAAGGAGCATAAGCTCAAAAAATATATGCACGAACTTAATATACTGAAGGTGAATCAACAATGATGAGCCTTAACATAGTATGAGGCAGAGGAACAACGTCACTTCCAACAACCTACACTTCAAGTCTAAAATAGCCTTCCTGCGTTTTATTGCTCCTCGCTCTATCAGTTCCGCTAAAGATGGTATCGCGGAAGGGTCGACTGGATCCAGGTTGACATCTTCCTGACCTCTCAATTTTCGATGTAAAGCCAGTTGCTCGCGTAGGTGGACGTGGTTGAAGGAAAAGTCGCGCCATCTCTGGCCCTTGGGCGCGGAAGTGTCCACTACGACGAGTTCCGTGCAGGCTTTGACCAGAGTTAGGCGGTAAGAGGATTAGACGACGAGCATTTATGAAAAGTACTAGAGGAGGCAACAGTCTTGATGTTCGATATGAAGATACAAGTTAAGTACTTTTGGTTCTAGCAGCAACGAAATGGAGGACTTCTACTTTTGCACGGGATAAACTTAGACTTTTAGAGGTAAAAACTAACCGGCTGTTTTACTTAGTGCGTTGAGCGTCGCGGGACCTAAACCTTCACCTAAAAGGTGAAAGCCAAGCAAGATTTGCAGCACGCCTCTAGCTGAAAATAAGGGGGAAAGGTTCACCTTCTTGCAGATCGCCTCTATCTGAAGATTCTTAAAATTGTCAAAAATCCAATGCTAATCGCCCAATCAAGAATTATCGCAATCGCCCAATCAAGAATTATATCGCTAGCACAAACAAAATAGAGGACTTCCACTTTTGCAGCTAAATAAGTCGTGGGCAAGGGCATCATCAAGCCATAACAATCATCCGACACCAGGTAATCCGACCCCTGTGGCAAGACCACATCTCCTATGCTCATACCATCTGGGATAATCTGCCCATCGCGATCCAGGAAAAAGACGCCATTGTTTTCTAGACACCAATATTTTGATGCCTGCGCTTGCAAGGATTCAATCCGCTGACTGGGTTCTACGCGGAAAACAGCGACACGACTCCCACTGCCCTCAACCAGCTGCTCCGGCTGTGCTGGAGTAGAGTAAGGTATCATTGAAATGGTTAGTCTCCAGCTGTGCTGGAGTAGAGTAAGGTATCATTGAAATGCTTATTTGTAATTTTTACGTAATTTGAAATAACTGGTAAGCGTGAGAATAGAGCCGAGAAATTGAAATACGAGCAGTGAATGAAAGGAAGAGAACTAAGATGATCAGGTTATGCTATAGACAGTTACAGCTTAAAGCTGTAGTATAGCACCTAAGCCTACGATACACACTTACGTAATAAAATAAATGATCCAAGACCGAGTGTTGAGTCGCAGTAAGAGTCTTCTTGGTACTGGTACATTAAATCAAAGCGTGCAAATTAAGTTCAGAAGCCCCACTAGAAGTACGAACTTTAGTACGGTGATAATGACAGTATATTAATGCACTACTTGTTGAGGTGATAAAGATAATGATGATTGAGTCACGTATTCAAGTACCGCCGTTCCCGCTGGCGTGTGATACACCACCTCAACTTTCAATGCTGTGCTTCCCTTTTTGACGAAAAATTGGTTCAAAGTGGTGCGACATTCCCCTCGATACTTCGCTAATTGCTTTGGCGACAAGCTGACACTGGCAGATTCCTTCACTGTTTGAGTTAGAGTTTATATACTCTATTTAAATACTATTAAAAATCCCCGAACACTCCTCGCCTTTAATGTGAACACTAAAGGACCCCTAAGACGCCTTTAATGTGAATGCTAAAGGACTCCCCTCCCCTTTAATGTGAACACTAAAGGACCCTTAGAGCGCC